TAAATCCTGACAGGATTCTTTGGGTTGTTTATTGGTATGCCAGTGTGCATGGTTTTGACTGGATCGATGTGTTTATACCCTGATTTCACTGCGGAAGTGTAACAAATTACAGGTGGCCCATTCTCACCCTGTTAAAGAGGGTGGGGTCCTAAAACCATAAAATGACGTAACAAATGTGGCCTTATGGGGCTGAAAGGTAACAAATGTTCATTTGTGATCTAATTTTCTGCAGCTTGTTCAAGACTATGAAAAGACCAAAGAAGGTGGAAAAAGAAGAGTGAAGAGTGTGTGTGGGGGGGGGGGGGGGGGGGGGGGTTTGACAGCGAGTGACTGAGACCTTTCATGGAAAACTGGGAGGACAGACGGACATCCTTAAAAGTTTGGTATTCGTAGGGGAAGTCTATAGTCTGTCTGAGAGGCTTCACCTTCACTCTCTGGGAAGAACTATTGTTGTTGTCCCCCCCCCCAATCAAACAAACAAACATGACCCTTTTTGATTAAATACAATCCAAAAATCCTCAGCTGGAACGTTCATAAAAATTTAAATTATTGGTTGAAACGTGAGAACGTCCTGGAATTCCTTCATGATGATCACATGATTGTTGTTTGTTTTTAATAACAATGGTCAAAATGGTTTGTTCTACTTAGAGTAACTCCAGGGTTTGTGAAGAAGCCTCCCCCGCTTTGTTTTGTGACAAGCCTCCGTACAAGTTGTCTGTTCCTACCACCAACAAAAAAGTTATTGGCTCAGGCTATTTGCAAGAACGGAAACTACTTTGCATTGCAAGGAATATGTGTGGAGCAAAACAATGGTTGCTTTTATGAAATATGGCAGCAGGGTCTCACCTTTGGCTCCCTGTGCCTTCTCCCCCGGCTTATTTACGTAAGCAGGTTGTGTCCTGTACCCCATCAGGAAAAGGTGTTACAGGAAACCTAAATCTGAGGTAAGATTCAGAGTAAACTCTCAACATTAGACCCCAAAACACAGCTTATCTGATCGCAGAAGGAGGTGAGGGAAAGGGTAAACACTTGTGTGACCTGTGCACCAGAATCCACATGGAGCCTGAAATTCACTTGGCTCAATTCGCTCAAATGCAGTGTTGTTTCCACTTTGCTGGCAGGTTAAACTGACCTGCAGTCTAATTTGTTTATTGTGTTTATTCCAACTCCACCAAACAGTGCTTTAGATACACTTTAAGATACTTTAATAAGAATAAAAACAAAGGATTTGTTGTGTTACATGTTAAACTCGCCTCCTGTTGGGATAATTACCTTTAAACTTTGATTATTTCTTAAAAACATCTTTAAAATTTAAAGCGATCTAAAACGATAAAAGCCTTTGCCTCACAAAGCTGTTAACAAAACAGGTTTTACATCATTTACTTCATTAGAAAAATTTTCAGTGTCAGAATAACACAGCCTTTAGGGAAACAGCGACAACTTAAATGTATATAAGAACATCCATCCATCCATTTTCAACAACTTATCCGGGGTCGGGTCATGGGAGCAGTAGCCTGCACAGCGAGGCCAAGACTTCCCTTTCCCCAGCCACTTGGGCCAGCACCTCCAGGGGAATCCCAAGGCATTCCCTGGCCAGGTGAGAGACATAGCCCCTCCAACGTGTCCTGGGTCTACCTTTAGATCTTCTCCCAGTTGGATGTGCCCGGAAAACCTCACCAGGGAGGCATCCCAACTAGATGCCTGAGCTACCTCAACTGGCTCCTCTCGATGTGGAGGAGCGGCAGATCTACTCCGATTAATGAAACTTCACATTTATAACGTTTATCTGTCATTCTCAGCCACAGTCCCGCTGAAGGAATAAACAGCAGGAAAAACAAGCTTCCTGATTTGCCATTTTTCTCTCATTGCATTTATTTTATAAATGATGCCCAGTGTGTTTCATGTTTCTGTGTTTTTGCATTAAACCTCATTAAAATAACCTTCTGATGTTCATAAATACCATTTAAACACGTTCTTTACCTAGAAATGATCATCAGAAACTGGATTCTGGGCAAACAATCCATCCTCATCACTAATACTAATAATCAATGTCTGTGTGTTTACTGAAGTGCTGATGCTAGATGTTTGTTTTAATCACTTAGCTGTTTTTTTCTACTCAGAGGTGTCAGAGTAAAATCTTAGTTTTATGTTTAACTTGTCCTGATTTAGTAAATAAATCACTACATTCTGCTAGAACCCTTATGCTGATGTTTAAGCTTTTTACTTTAATTCATAAGGAACCGACAACTCCTGTTTTTGGTTTGTGGGAGGAAACTGGAACACACACACACACACACACACACACACCACACACACACACACACACACACACACACACACACACTCCACACACCCAAGCACGCACGCACGCACACACACACACACACACGCACGCATGCATGCACACACACACACACATGCGTGCACACACACACACACTCCACACACGCACGCACGCACACACACACACACACACACGCACGCACGCATGCATGCACACAGACACACACACACACACACGCACGCACGCACACACACACACACACACACACAAACACTCACTCACTCACTCACTCACACACACACACACACACACACACACACACACACACACACACACACACACACACACACACACACACACACACACACACACACACACGGAGAGGATATGCCAAGACTGAAAGACCAAAGCTGGGATTCAAACCAGAAACCCTTTTGCTGCGAGGCAACTTGAAGTCAAGCAATGTCTTTGTTGTAATTAGCCACGAGCCGATATGAGGCAACAAACCAACTATGAAATTTACAGCTGTTACGGGAAACTCCTTCACACCCACCACCCCCATCAGCAGAGATAACGTGCGAACCTCAGGACTCCACAGTCCCTCTGACCTTTGACCCTTTGTAAACTTGCCCTCTGAAGCTACCGGCGTGTCCTCTGTAGCCTTTGACTCTTGTTGAGTGGAACTGCCTGGTCTGTATTCTCCTGTCTGACTTCAGCTCCACCAGGATCAGACAGGAACATGGTGCCTCTACCTGGAGACAAATAAACAAACAAGATACTGGGTAGGTCTTCATTAGCCAACAAGGTGAGAACTAAACAGATCAGCAGCATCATATTTGTACACCACCAGCTTAAATGTTTGCTGTTCTTGTCCCTTAAATGGTAACATGGATCAATGTTCTGCTATACTTCTGCTGCAGCCATCAGCTCCGAAGCCAGAGGAAACACAAGTTTGGGTTTGCCTCCCTCTGGTGGCTCAGGCATAGCATTACATGACCCTGGCTTCCAGCACTTAATATATGAAACAACTTTAAAAACAAACTTCTTCATTGAAATGTTGGACAAAGTATAAAATATTAGATCAACATCTCTGCATGAGAAGAACTCAGAGGAAATCAAATTCTGTGGCAGGAGCTGAGTGGCCCACTCATAACCAGAGGGTTATAGGTTCGAGCCCTGTCTGTCTCAATCATTGTGTCCTTGAGCAAAACATTTACCCAACGTTGTCTGGTGGTGGTGGGAGGGACCGGACTGAATTCGGCAGCCTCACCTCCATCAGTGTTCCCCAGGTCAGCTGTAGCTACAATGTAGCTCACTACATTGTGTGTGTGTGTGTGTGTGTGTGTGTGTGTGTGTGTGTGTGTGTGTGTGTGTGTGTGTGTGTGTGTGTGTGTGTGTGTGTGTGTGTGTGTGTGTGTGTGTGTGGATGAATGACTGGGTGTTGTGCAAAGCGCCTTGAGGGGCTGTAAAATCCTAGAAGTTTCTATATCAAATACAGTCAATTTACCAAGAAACACAAACAAAACATCATCCTCATCAACATTATTATTATTGTTGTTATAAATAATAATAATAGCTCAAGCTGTCAGAGTTATTCTCATTCTCTTTGATTGGCTGATGCTGCCCCTCCCAATATGGCCGACTTTTTGACATTTTATTCCTATGCGGACTAGGTTTGAAGCAAGATGGAGACACCACGTGCAAAAACGTGCTAACTAGTAATGGTCCTTGTTTGTAGTGGTGTTAGGAGACATCTGGGCATGGACAGAGGACTGTTTAGTGAAAAGACTTCCACACAGACATAAATCATGACAGAGCTAAATGGGATAAACAACCACTCTGTTTCTATCTGCTGCTAGTCCTCTCTGTCTACTGTTTAAAAATAACTTTTGTCCTCCCGTCCCTCACTTTTGTCTGCACGAGGATTTATTAACTGTTGAGACTGTCTCTGGTTGTCCTTGGGCCACCTGGGGTCACATTGGCTCTGTCTGACTTTAGAATTTCTCACATGTCCACATCTGGAGTATAGGAGTGCTAAAGAGGGCCTCTAAATGCTGGACACGCCCCCTGTCCATCACAGGGCCAGGATGAGGAGGTCTATCAAACAGAAGGATAAAGTTTGCTGCTGGGATGAGCTGTGATCGTCACACGGGGGGCACTGAGAGCAACTAGATCCTAACGTACATCTCTGGTGAGCATGTGTGAATAAAACTGTCCTACATGTAAGGAAAAAATACAATTCATTTGTTCTCAGAGGAAATCGTTTATTCCAACTGGTGAAACCAACCGTGTTGGACCAGGTGGGACTGTTTGATACAAAATGAATGACAGACACGTGTAGTGTCTTCATCAGCATGCTGAAGGTTTGAGGGTGAAGTGTTGACTGTCTTTTTAAATCCTTCCTCTCCTCTGACAGAGAGAGGAGTTCAGGCCTTCTCCCTGAGCAGGCCTATGCCAGGACACCTGTCATTTCCAGCAGGTCTGACGGAAGCAGGGGAACACCGAGGAACCAGGGACCTTCTGGGTTTTAGGACATGCTGTGCTTTATACGCACAACTCTACGCTTGTAAAACCGGCAGAATCTGTCAGCATCTCTGATGTGGCGCATCACTGTTGTGTCGAGCAGCAAAAGATGAGCCTGTTACAACAGGAAGTGAAAATGTTTGGATTTCAGAATAAGGTGATATTTTCCTGATTTTGCTCAAGTGTTGAAATCTCGTAATTTCTAACAAACAAGAGTGTCTGGATGCTGTCGTGTGGTGGAGTGGTCCTCTATGGTGCAATAGGACCCAAACGCATGTGGGCAGGAACAGGAGAAAGAAGGGCAGGTGAAAGAACCGTTTAATGGTTGGCAGGTAGGGATGAAGAAGATGATGATGCAGCAGGAACACATCAAGACAACACATCAGAGAGAGAAGAAGATCCTGAAAGATGCTGGCTTCTCTTTGTAAGACCACATAAAATTCTGCACTTGAGTGTTCAAATGGAATAAATAATATTAATGCATCAGAAATTGACAGAAATTGGATCATATTGGATCTGTCTACAATCGAGGGAGTACTCAGCCCCCTCCAGCATGTCAGGGGTAGAGACCCTCACCCACTGTCACTATGCTCTGTTGTGACTGAACCAAACAACACCCTGGACACAAATGGCTGAAATGAGCTTTCTCTGGGTGAGGAGCTCCATCAGGAGCTGCACTCCTCCACAGTGTAAGGAGTCAGGGGTGGTTCTGGTATCTGATATGGATGTCTCCCAGTCACCTCCCTCTAGAGCACAGGTGTCAAACCCTGGTCCTTGAGGGCTGATACCAAATGTTGCTGTTTTCCCTGCTTCGACACACCTGATTTCAACCAGCAGGTGATTAACAGGCCTCTGGAAAGCTTGATGAGCTGCTGCACAGGCGAACCACAAACTCAACAAAAGATGAAGGATGCTGGCCCTCGAGGACTGGAGATTGACACCCCTGCAGAACGTCATGGAGCTAGTTTAGATGTGTGCTGGTCTGGGAAGGACCAGGGATCCTCTCCAAAGACCTTGTGTATTCCTGGGGTGAGGGGTGTTATGCCTCCCTCCTGGATCTCTTTTCTCCACAACATGACCTTGGAGAGGAAAAGGGATGGATGGGTGGGTGGCTATTGGGTTTATAATTGATCATACACAAATGCTTATATCACAAGTAGTAAATTAGGACTGTAACTCGCTGAAGTTGGTCTTTTATTGCCAAACTCCCAATCGGAAGTGGTGTCCGTGTGCGTTATTTGTGCGCTGACGGCGCTACACATCTGACAGAGCTGGGATACCGATTTGGGAACGTTTCGGCCCTTTCCCAGCCGCTGTAGCTGCGTCTTCCTCACGACACCGAGGTCGCCGAGGCGTCGCCGGGATCAAGCGAGCCGTTCTGTCAGTGGCTTTGAAGTCAAACCGGATACCGCTCGTGGTCCAGACGGAGCCGTGTTTGTTTAGGGTGGTGAAATGAGGAGGGGGTGGAGAGTCGCCACAGAGACGCTGGGCTCTGGCCAAGCATCGCCGCATTTTAGCGCCCCTTCTCCTGCCACCTCTCCCTCCTTCATGCTCGGGATTTTGCATTGAGCTGCAATTGCTTCTTCGCAGATCACACACACACACACACACACACACACACACACACACACACACACACACACACACACACACTGCAAGGTGGACACACACACACTGCAAGGTGGAAGATGCAGCCCGTCTGAGGACACCCCCACCTCTCCCCCTCTCTACCAGATATCCGTCGCTGCCATGACAGCCAGAGGTCTCCTCTCGAGCTCGGCTCGGTCTCTGGGAGAACAGGCAGAGTGATTCGGGACGGTGGCTCGCATCTGCGGATGTCATTGTGTCCGTGGAGCCTGTGAACACCATCCGCGCAAACGCACCGAGATTCCTACTCAGGGGGGGGAGACAAGACGGAAGGGGGGAGGAAAATATGTCCTCTCGATCTGCGTTACCGTCTGGGAGCGACAGGAGCACAGGGGAACATGTAAGTGGTTCTATTTGTGTGCATGAAGATGGCTGAGCGAGGATCTCATCCTGTATGTGGCCTTTTGTGTGTGTGTGTGTGTGTGTGGGGGGGGGGGGTACGGCGCTGTTTTTCCTCAGGATGTGATACAGATGTGAGTCTGCTGTAGCGTTTGGGACGGGGCTAACGTTGCGTGCGTGTGTGTATATGTGCGCGCGTGCATGGGAAAGGCGCTGATGCCTGTCCAGGTTCGATAAGGCTCTGCGAATATGCGCAGAAAGCTCCAGATCCGACAGTCACCTCACGCTACAGCGCTGTGCAGAGACAGTGATGTCACATTCGGGTCCCTAACAGCTGCTCCGTGTGTGTTTCTGTGTGTGCGCGTGCCCGGTTTAAGTCGGATGGGTGGGACGAGCGCGAAGGAGGCCCAAATGAACGCAGAGAGAATATGTGGGTTCGTGTGTTTCGAAGCGTAGTGGATTATAGTACGTAAAAATGTGAAGGCTGTGCATCACGTTACTGCAAAAGATCTATCTATCTATCTATCTATCTATCTATCTATCTATCTATCTATCTATCTATCTATCTATCTATCTATCTAATCTAATCGCTGTGATTGCTGTGACTGAGACCCTGTCACCACATAAGCCCTGATGACAGGTGAGTGAATTGAGCGGATAACAGGGTTGGGCCCAGGTAAGACTCGGTCTGCATTGTGATCCATTACATTTCTCTGGTCCCAGTTACAATGTCCAACCAGGTGCTGGTTGGACTGGGAGCAGGATCCCAGGGTCTAAAGGTGGAGTCTGAGGCTGTGTGCCTGTGTTTGTGTGTTCTTTAACAAGTCTGTGGGCCAAGTACGACTGTGCCAGCATATGTTCACTTTACGTGGAGCGCCAGAACTAAAGTGTTGAAGCGCCCTTCCGGTTAACCATTCTACCATCATTTGTGTTGTGACAGGATCGGGAAAAAATATGCAAAACAAACATCAGAACATGTGGCTTAATCAGGAGTAACCTGCTATACTTGGTAGTGTTTTGTTGCACAACTTTGACAAAATGAGCAAAAACAGGCACAGTCCTGTTGACATTTAAACTGCTTGATTAAAGGAAAACGTCGAATCCATGTAGAAGCTACCTCACATATGTAGATATAAAGTCAGGCCACGACCCAGAGACAGCTCGGTCGTAGGGCGGAATCTGCCATTGTCTTTCGGTCTCCGCACACAATTGGACAGTGCTAGGACCAATCAGAGCAGCAAACAGCATGAGTATTCATCACTACAGAAATCTGTTATGGTCTTCCATAAACCATTGAAGAAGAAGTAAATCCATGTTTTAAGTACATCTATCTCCTCTTCTCAAAAAAAAAAAGCCCAAGTCCTAAATCACCCAAATTTATCGTCAAAGCCGAGCGCCATTCCTGAGCCGACGCCATCTTTGTAATTTTAATCTGTTGCAACTCTGGTGAGAACACAACAGTATGGCTGTGTCCAAATTCAGGGGGTGCGTGCTCATGAGGCGGATTTTAAGACCAGTGACGTCACTGCGCCGCGATGAAGTCTGTCCAAATTTAAATCTGTTCTTCTTTTCCCTGATTTAGAGAATAGGTGTGGTGTAGTCTCCTCACCAGGGGTGGAAATTAAAATGTTTCTGTACCAGCCTTTGTGGCTGATAGAGGAACATGTGTGCCAGCCACTCAAACATTTTACCAGCCACATTTTTGTTCTCTATTGTGAGGGAGTCGTTGTGTTGATGAGATGCAGGAAGGTGTGACCTCGACTCAAACTGCTTAGGAATGAGATCCAAAGCTGCATTACAGGTGCTGGAAAGGTGAAATCTAAGCCCCTCCCCTATTTAAAGTAGGTTTTTCATGTTAGACATGGATAGCTTCTTTTACTCCTCTCTCAAACCATCTATCTTCTCTGTCCAGAATCTGTACTTTGCCATCTTCAAAGGTCCCTTGTCCTTCAGGTGAAGGTGGACTGCAGAGTTTTGACCTGACGAGGTAGCTCTCCTATGTTGTGCCATGCTCTTGTGTAATTGTTGTTTAGCTTCCCCGATGTAAACATCTGGACAGTCCTCACTACATTGGACTACATGAACAACACCACTGAGCTTCTGTTTGGGTGTTTGGTCTTTTGGATGGACCATTCCACAGTAGTTTCTGCTTGTTAAATAACAACAGACAGCTATAGCTTATAAGCTTGACTCTCCCAAATTCCTGTTAGAATTGACAAAGCTTCTCGGATGAGAAGCAAAACGTCTTCAAGAAACTAAAGAAGTCCAGTTGCCTTCATTTGAAAACTTTAAATTGGTAAGAGCTTTCAGAGATAAAAAAGGCAAATATTACTATACCAGCGTATTGTTGCGTCTCAGCCTGACATACAAAATATGCGGTACATCTGCTGTAGCTCTTCAAACAGTAATAAAACAAGGAACAAGTTTAAAACATGTGCAAGCTCCATTTCTGCAGCTTCTTCTTAGTGCGGTAACTGTTGCTAGGTGACAGGAGGTCATCTGCCAAGTAGGGGACTATTATTTAAGGCTTGACTGTCCACTGATCCATGGCGGATGGCTGCTTATACTGAGCCAGGATCCTCTGGAGGTTTCTTCCTGTTAAAAGGGAATTTTCTTCTCCACTGTTGCTAAATGCTTGCTTAGTATGAGGATTGATGTAAAGTCACTGACACTAGTCAGTGACTTGATGCAATTTGCTGGGTTCCTTATATAGGAAACTTTTTTCTGATTGGCTTAATGAACTGACCTGGATTGGAATGTTTACTGTGTGAAGTGCCTTGAGACGACTCTTGTCGTGATTTGACGCTTTATAAATAAAGTTGAATTGAATAAACTTGAAACTTGAATATTCACGTTAATCTGTTAACATCACATTCTCCTGAGACCGATGAAGATGGGCACTCATAAGCATGCAACCCCTGAATTTGGACACAGCCAGTGGCTCATCAAAAAAACAGCATGAAGAGATGCCCTCATCAATAGTTTTTATTATGACTCCTGTTGACTTTACCGGTTTTCTCCAGTGGGTGGCAGATGTGAGCAGTTCAGTGGTGAATAAAACATGGACGGATGGCTCTGCAGGATACTTAAGACAGAGAAAAGCCGCTACAGAAGTATTGGTGTCCCAGCAGAGATTATGATGCATAAAAATGGGATTTCCACAAGTGTTGGAAATAAAAACGGTGTGGGCAGTCATATGTAAGAATAAAGGAGGTGGATTTTTGCTGCATGTCATACACGGCTGGAAAGAGAGGAAATGCACATGGTTCAGAAGGAATGACTCGATAAAAGTACACTTTAAAAGCAGAATGTAACAAATAATTATCTTTTTTTGTAGATTTTTTTTGTGATCTTAAAATCAAAATCATGAACAAACCTGATTTATTACAGCCATCATTTAAATTGTCACAGAAAGTTGGACTGTACATGGCTGATAGTTTGATTTGAGTTTTTCTCTCCATCCTGGTTTGTTTTTGAATTTTAGGAGACTTTTTTTGCAGAATATTAATAATGTGTAAATCTAACTTTGATCTCTAAACTCAGTATTTCTATTTAAAATACAAATTATTTAAAACTATTTGTAAATTTAAAACTATTTATCAAGGGGGACTATGGGGTGTGGTCCAACTACAGGGGGATCACACTCCTGAGCCTCCCTGGTAAAGTCTTTTTACGTGTTCTGGAGAGGAGGGTCCTACAGATTGTCAAACGTCGGATTCAGGAGGAACAATGTGGTTTTCATTCTGGCCATGGAACACTGGGCCGGCTCTATACCCTGTAGGGGGTCCTGGAGGGTGCGTGGGATTTGAAGAAGTCGTTTGACTTCTCGGAGTAGACCCGCTGCTCCTCCACATCGAGAGGAGGCAGTTGAGGTGGCTCAGGCGTCTAATGCCTCCTGGACGCCCTCCCTGGTGAGATTTTCCAGGCATGTTCAGCCAGGAGGTGACCCAAAGGGAGAACCCAGGACATGCTGGAGGGACTATGTCTCTTCGCTGGGAATACCTTGGGATTCCTCCAGAGGAGCTGGCCCAAGTGGCTGGGAAGAGGGAAGTAAAGGCCTCCCTGCTTACTGCTCCCGCAACCTGACCCATATAAGCAGAAGATAATGAATGGATAGATGGATGGATGGATGGATGGATATTTGTTATAAATTGTGATGATTATGGCTTACAGCTGATGAAAACTGAAATTCAAAATCTCAGACATTTATAATATTGTGAAAATATTCAATATTCTAGACTAGCTAATGAATCCAGAACACCTGCTAAGGGTCCCTGAGCCTTTAGATGGTCTCTCAGTCTAAGATGGGACTAATGACAATGGTCTCTCTCTCTCTCTCTCTCTCTCTCTCTCTCTCTCCTCTCTCTCTCTCTCTCTCTCTCTCTCCTCTCTCCTATTCACTCTCTCTCTCTCTCCCTCTCTCTCTCTCCTCTCTCCTATTCCTCTCTCTCTCTCTCTCTCTCTCTCTCTCTCTCTCCTCTCTCTCTCTCTCTCTCTCTCTCTCTCTCTCTCTCTCTCTCTCTCTCTCTCTCTCTCTCTCTCTCTCTCTCTCTCTCTCTCTCTCTCTCTCTCTCTCTCTCTCTCTCTCTCCTCTCTCTCCTCTCTCTCTCTCTCTCTCTCTCTCTCTCTCTCTCTCTCTCTCTCTCTCTCTCTCTCTCTCTCTCAAACTTCCAGAACCTAGGTGCTCAGTAAGTTGTGTGACTCAAGCTCGTCACCATCAGTTTTGCACAGTAATCTGATGGGTTATTGTCATAAATGTAGAGGCAAGCCTGCAGAGATGTCTCCACCAGCTTTAACAGCACCACTCTCATTCTTCACCTCCCTGCTGGAGGAGATGGCGCTGAACCTCAAACAGAACAATATGCTCCAATGTTGGACTCCAGCTGTTAAACCAGAGATTGGGAGTGAGGGTGCAATCCACAGGAAAGTCAGTTTTGTCTTTTTCAGCTGAACATCTGGCAGAATCACAGCAACATGTCACTGTTAGCTCACTATCTGCCACAGGCGCTTGTATACAAACAGATAAATAAATAAATACATGTAGACCACTTGCTCTTCCAGTTGTTCAAACATCTGATGCATCAGATGAAGAAAACAGTTTTTTTCTCTTTAAACCTTTATGTTTCCACCTGAGTACACAAATGCTCACAAATACTCACAATTAGCATGGCCAGCCACTGTAATGAGAAAAGTGCAAGGACCTGTTGGATTAGCTGACTGCTGTGGGTACAGTCAGCGGTGCCAGTGATCCGAGCTAAAATCTCTAAATTTTCACAAAACCCTCTCATTATCTTCCTGACGAAAGCATCCCCAAAACTAATTTCTTCAGCCTGTCAGTGGCCGGTGCTGCAGATGTGTGTAGCAGACAGCTGTTTCTATAAGAAGCTTGTTTAACCACAACCAGGAAACACGACTCCTGACTTCTTGGGCCACAGAATTCTAACAAGAACGCCGTAAGCCAGGGAGTCAAACTCAAATTCACACTGGGCCAAAATGAAAAACTGGGACGACGTCGCGGGCCAAACTCAGTATTTTTTTTATATGTACTGTTGAACCTTTTCATTTGGACACAAACTTATTTTTACCAAAACACTGAATGTGGAAAAGGGAAATCACAGACGAGCAAATTGATTTTAAATGAAGCACACATTAGTGGTATTCGTTACTTAGTTATGTCTCATATTTTTATTCTATTTTCCCCCTGTAAATTGTGTAAATACACAACATTTTTTTAATATTTAGCATCTTTTAAGTATTTCTGTTTTCCCGTTGTTCACTCTTTGTTCTTATTTTTTTACTCTCCTTTTTGCTCCTGTAATGAATGTCATCGCTGCTGGGACACCAAGCTTTCCCCACTGAGGAACAGTAACGGGATTTTTGTTCTTTTTTTACACAGTTTAGTAAACGGTTAAACTAAACTGTGTAAGAAAAGAACAAAAACATGGATTACAGACAACAACACAGTACGAGCGCACAAAAGACTTTCAAATAAAGGGATTTGCTATTCTATTCATCTATCTGTAGTTTTTCCAGTTCCTGTTTTAAAGTGGGTTTAATATTTTTTCACAGGCCAACAACAAAAATAAAAAACAGTAATTATGTTAAATGAAAATGCAATATCTCACCTGTTAAAACACAAATTGCAAGTTAGAGACTCCCATGAACCAACGTTTAGAGACAATTAATAAAACTCTTTTAAAACATTTTTTACACAAACATAAATTATTTAGTCTTTTAGATAGGGATGGACAATATATCAGCATCAATATCGGTATCGGCAGATGTTAGTCTTTTTTTAGCATATCGGTATCGGTTCGATAAATAAAACCGGGCCGATTATTAACAACCAATACTTTTTCCATCTTGTCTCTTTTTGTTTGCCTGTTTCAGAGGGTGAGGGGGTGATGTGTAATTGTTTAGTCATGTGAACAGTGAATGTAATCATCTCAGAACCATAAATGTGTGTTGTGCATACATAGTAATGTAAATTCAGCTTTAATATTCTCATTATGTGCAAAATCTTCTGACTTTAGCAGCATTAATGTCAGTATATCGGTATCGGCAAATATCGGTTATCAGCCATAACAGTGATCTTAATACCAGATATCCGTATCGGTCCAAAAATTTCATATCGGTGCATCACTACTTTTAGAGTGATTTTTGTGAGAAAGGTATTTTATTTATTTTTTTTTTTTTTGCCAAACCAAGTGACGTCAGCTGAGGGAGTCCTGTTAGCTTAATCCAGAGGAAAATATGGATTCTAATGCCGGTTCTGACACTGAGGAAAATTTAAATGTTTATAAATCTACTTATGATGGACCAAAACCATAAAGTTATGAGTTTGCTGCATGCCCCAGAGAGCAGAGACCAACCAGAGGGGGAAATCGTCGGCCAAAGCAGAGAGATTAAGGAGGAGCAGCGGGGGAGCAGCTTGTGAGTTAACGATGCTAGCTTAAACTTGTGTGCAAACATCACAATATTGTACAGATTACTATCATGTACAAGACAATTACAATTGTATCGGTCAGTTAATATAATATTAATACTAATGAGCGTCTGTCAGCGGTCTCATACTCGTTAATATCCGTTCACGTAACAAAGTTTAGCGCTTAGAGAGAGGGAGAGATACGCCTGTCATCCGATTCTGGAGCTCATGCGGACTTCTGTGAGCTGGATGTGACCCAGACACCAGCGAGTCAGTCGAGTTGGTATTTTTTAAAGCGATCCTCTCCTGGAGATTTGCGATGGTTCTGATCCGGTGCAGACCCATAAACCAGCTCTACTGGCCCGCTGAGCCACGCGTCTCTTCTGGTGGTTGGTTCTGACCTGGTTCTGATGGTGATCTGAGTTCCAGAAATCCGCATTTAATTTTCTAAACCCCTCCACGGGTCTCCGGAGCCCAGCGCGGATCTCCCTGTCCCGGTACCGACCGATGTGGGCTACAGAAGTCCATCTTTTCAGCTTCACAAAACATCCTCAGGCACGGAGATAGAGGCGTTGTTTCTCTTATCTGGAAACCCGTGGACTCGATGTCCAGACACGCTGGAGTTGGTACAGCCTTCACACACTATACTGTAGTTTATCAACATGAACACAATCCAAAACACACACGCTGACCGGATAACATGACCTCTCTACCCTAAAACTACCCACTCTCCACACTGAGCTGAGGCAGCCTAGCTTCTAAGTCCCTTTGGTCATGTTAGAGGTTCAGATGTAGAAAAAAAGAGCCTTTTTAGAAGCTTTGCTGAGAAACGACACTTTACTAGAAAAACTCTGTTGTTATGTATTTTAAAACGACAGCATTTTATGTGAATTAGAAAAAATGGTCTTGATTCGGAAAAGGGTAGAATGCCTTCTCCGGGTCAGGGATGAGGTCCTGCCCCAAGTGGAGGAGTTTAAGTATCTCGGGGTCTTGTTCACGAGTGAGGGAAAACTGGAGCGTGAGATCGATAGGCGGATTGGTGCTGCATCTGCAGTGATGCAGGCGTTGTACTGGTCTGTCATGGTGGAGAGAGCTGAGTCAGAAGGCAAAGCTCTCGATTTACCTGTCGATCTATGTTCCTACCCTCACCTATGATCATGAGCTTTGGGTAGTGACCGAAAGAACGAGATCGCAGATATAAGCGGCCAAAATGAGTTTTCTCCGAACAGTGGCTGGGCTCTTCCTTAGAGATAGGGTGAGAAGCTCGGTCATTCGGGAGGGGCTCGGAGTAGATCCGCTGCTCCTCCACATCGAGAGGAGCCAGTTGAGGCGGCTCGGGCATCTGGTCAGGATGCCTCCTGGACGCCTCTCTGGTAAGGTTTTCCGGGCACGTCCAACCGGGAGGAGACCTAAAGGTAGACCCAGGACACGGTGGAGGGACTATGTCTCTCACCTGGCCAGGGAACGTCTTGGGATTCCCCCGGAGGAGCTTGCCCAAGTGGCTGGGGAGAGGGAAGTCTGGGCCTCTCGCCTTAGGCTACTGCCCCTGCGACCCGACTCCGGATAAGCGGATGAAAATGGATGGATGGATGGATGGATGGATAGAAAAAAACATTTAACCTGCAATTAGCTCTTTCACGTTTGTGCTATGAAGCAGAAAAAGTGCATAAAACCAAAATAATCCAAGCTCAGTTTGCTCCACTGTGATGCTCACCTGTTCCAGCCAGACACCTGCACCTCTGGGGTCAGGCTGTGAGCTGAGGAAGGAGTTCATCAGTGAGACTGCAGTGTTGTTCTGTTCATCTTCATCACAGACAACAGTTGCTCACACAGGTTTGTGCTGCTGAACATGGAGAGCGTCTGAGCAGCTGGACCACGCTGTTGTGTTGGTGTGTCGGGGAGGAGAGATAAACACTGCAGCCACAGAGTCGTACTGACTTCAGCGTGTCACTAAACTCGAGTTAAATCATCTCGGTCTGGAAGTTGGTCTTTGCACTTTCTCTGATAGCAGCAAACAGATTACTGAGCGGTTAAAATCCATTTCTGGGCTTCAAAGTCGGCAAATTGCTGAATAAACTTGGCGCTGAGTAAGAGGAGCCCAGTTTGTCTGAGACTGACTGGGGTAATGCTGCAGAGTAGCATGGATGCATGAATGAATGTAAACAAAAAGGAAGGGGCACTTAGCTGCAAAGCACTATGGGATATGTAGTCTTTGCAGCAAAATCAGCTGGTGGGCCATATAGTTGATGTTTGGTCTCGTGGGCCAAATAAAAATAGACCAAGGGCCAAATTTGGCCTGAGGGCCTGAGTTTGACTCCTGTTCCTCAACCCTCCCACTGTCCTAACGGGTGTGGCCCCACGAGGAAAGTTGACCATTGAGCAGGATTGATGGTTTATCCCTTGAGGTCCACGTGGCAGGGGTGAGGTGGTGCTCATGCCTTACTCCATGTAGGTTTGGCTTTGGATGAACATAGATTATAATGCAAAGTGCTGTGAGTGGTTAGTAAAAAAGTTCTGCACAATCACTGCTCACTGCTTCTAGAACAGCGTTCCATTCTCTTTGGGTTAGGAGGTGTAGGGTTAGGGTCAGTTTTATGACTAATTATTTTTCAGTAGTTGCGCTTTTCCAGTTCTCTGATGCTGCTACATTATGTGGTACTGATGCTTCTCCTGGTGTCTTACAGCATGTGTCGCTGGGGGCCAGCCGTTCAGACAAGGCCACGAGCCAGTCCAGCCGCTCTCTGGGCGCCCGCTGCAGGAACTCCATCGCCTCCTGCTCTGATGAGCAGCCACACATTGGCAACTACCGTCTGCTCAAGACCATTGGCAAGGGAAACTTTGCCAAAGTCAAACTGGCTCGCCACATTCTGACAGGCAGAGAGGTGAGATGTGGGAGCAGCAGAAGCTCGGGTGGGAGGAAGGCAGTAGTTAAATTAGTGATGTTTGCTGGGTGAGGAAACGCCTGTTGCGTTAGATAAATTGGGTACTTTAGCTCAGTATATATATTAACTCAACTTGTGACCAGTAAGCTGTGATACTCTTATCTAAATATAGAATATCACCCTGCCTGGTCTTTATTTGTGCTTAGTCATAAGACTCTAGGATTTTTTATATTATCAAAAACCACATCCAGACACTATCTGTGTGTCTACATACCCAAGTGAAGATGCCCTTTTGGATCCGAGATGTCGGGAGGGGGGAGGGGGGGGTGTGTCGGAGACCCCGGTACCAAAGTCAGTAGACTAACTTCAGTCGTCAGTCCAGGGTCATCTCCAGGTATCCAGGTATGACAGTTGGATTGAACCGAGCGACTGGGACTCTTAAGGAGTCTAAACAATATAAACTTGTTCTGCAGGAACTAACTTGTTGTATCAGCTTCGCAGGTGCAAAAAAGGTTTTAAAGGTTTTGATGACGTGTCAAAATATTTGCTGGTTAAAGAGGTTTTGCTACGGATGGCCGGTCTGAAGCTTTCTCTAGAACTCTGGAACCGAAGAAAAACCAGAGTGATCTAGTTTTAATGCTAAGATGTTATGAATCGGTAGCTAAGTAGCTAACCAAAAGCTGACAAGTTTGGATGTTACCAAGAATCTCAGAAACACACGCCTTCTTTGAAATTCTGAGGCTCTGATCTGGGCAAAACGTTAACAATGTGTCACGCGTTTAACTTAACCTTACTTTGTCCTTGTGTGAGTGCAAATGGTGATGACCTCGTCATATCAACATGCTGAAACATATATCAATCAATGAGCCCAGATTAATGAAACATTTCATTATATTATTATTATTATAAGTAGCAATAAACAAACATTTATTTAATGATTATCTCTTGTATATTTCAGAAGTTCATTTTTAATTTTAAAAATCTTCTTCTATTCTTCTGTGAGTCAATGAGTTTAGATAAAAGAGTTGCTCTATGAGGGACCTTGGTTGGAGAGAGTGTTATTGTTATGATTTCATTATCTCTGTCAGAGCTGCAGGCTCTGATCTCCAGCTGGTGAGAGGAAGGCAGGCTGGATTAAAGGGATAATGTGCAGTCTTGTGTCTCCTTTTTGACCAGATGTTGAATGGTCAAACAGAACCTAAACTGACCATTGCTGGACATTACACATCCTTGGATGTCCCTGATGTTTATCTTCGTTTGATTCACTGGAAAGTTTGAGCACAGCTCTTTTTATAACTTCAATGCAGCAGTGACTACATGAGTTACTGTTGAAAAATAAATTTCTTGGTGAAATAGGATTAGAGTCCTCGTGTTGTCATCATGCTGCTAGCAAAGCTTTGACACCAACCTCTCAGCTCCGGGAGACAAAGAGTTCACATTTGAACATTTTAATGTTTCTGAGCAGTAATGAGAAACCTGCAGTTTTCACTGGCCCTTGAACTCACCATCCTCATTTCAATGAAGACATTTTAATTTCCAGGATCAGGAATTTTTCATTCATTAGAATGAGAAAAATAGTGTTTTTTTTTTTAATTAATTATAGTGTTTTGAGATTAATCTGAATTGTTTCAAATCAGTATCAGGAGGTCAGAGGTAAGGTCACATATCAGTATAGGCTCTCAAATCCACAACCAGCTTGTTGGTCTGGAGCATGCAGGTGTGTGTTAGCAGAGTTACTACTGGAAAAGAAATCAGCAGTTATGCTAGTGAAGCTATTTGGGATGGCTTAAAGGTTGTGTTCAAATAACTTGGAGGAAGTTTATTCTGTAGTTTACATCCCTGTGATCCAACTGTGGAGTTCTCAGAGGATTCACAAAAATCATGTTGGGACATATTTAACTGTTTTCACTTTTCCATACGTTTTTTTCCAGGTTGCAATAAAAATCATCGATAAAACTCAGTTGAACCCAACCAGCCTACAAAAGGTGAGTCCACCTCTCTGTAAGGATGGGTCACACATTTAGATTGAGACCTTCTCTGCACCTCGCCGCCTGGCTTTGTGGACTGAAGTCTGTTGTTCTGATCGATTAGCTGAGAACAGAAACAGTGATGTGGCTGTGACAGAGGTTTGGGTTCCTCCTCGGCTGTTTCCGTCTTCTGAAGTGTCAGGAAGGGAAGCAGCTGATGCAGAGAGGGGCTCGTGAGACGTGATGCTGTTTGGCAGGTGCTAGAGACCGGATGGGAGCAGAAGGAGACCTCTGCTCCACATATCATCTCTCATCTCTGTCTTAGCTACTCACTGCCCTGAGAGGTGGTGACTCATCCTCGAAGCTGCCATCACCCAACCTGTGTTTTCTTCTCTCTGTGTGCAACTGTGCACGAGGTCTTAATTTGTCTTCCCTGGACTTCCTGGTGGAGAATGAACATTGTGGTGAAGGATATTTCACAGTTTCTAGTGAGAGGTGTCTTTGAAGTTCCTGTTCCTGGTTCCTTGATTCTTGGACAAGTCTAACAGGAAACCTCCTGAGCCTAGAGAAGGGGTAGGAAACCCTGGTCCTAGAGAGCCACATTCCTGCATGTTTTCCAGCCAGGCATGAACTTGCAGCTTCTAATTGGCTGAGCACACCTGATCTAGGTAATTAACAGCAGGAACAACAAAGATAGTTGGAAAACAAGCAGGACTGCAGCTCCCTGGGACCAGGGTTGCCTACATCAGCTCCTGTACCCTGCACTGTTCCTGGAACAAGAAGAAGGGAAGGAAACAGAAGAATCAGATTAGAGATGAAACAATCCAACTCAGATGTTTGTGAAGGTGTCTGAGTGAACTGCTACATAAAGAGCAGCAGCTGATCCTATCTTCTGTGCTCCAGCAACAGCATCAACCACTCACCATGAAGTCATCAGGCTAGACTACATGCTGTACCTTTAATTTAACCCCTTTAGTATTTTTTTATTATTGATATTTAAATTTCTCGTGCTTCTCCATCTGTTGGCATGAGAAAAAACAGAATAGATGTAAGGGGCTGAAGTCTACCCAGACACTTCTGGATTTGGTGCTGGTGGAACATACACGACGGTTCTGAGGAAGGAGGCATCTGATTGGACCGGACCGAGCCGTACCAGTGATCAGAGTGGACTGCGTTATGTGCATGTGGGATTTAGAAAAGCTTCAGGAATGAAGACATGAAAGAGTTTATATTAGCATAATCTAAACTGTAGTGGGTGGTAGGAATGTGTGTGTGCATGCGTTTGTGCTTGCTTGCGTACTTTTATGTGTGTGTGCATGCGTTTGTGTGTGCATGCACGTGCCTGCGTTTGTGCATGTGTGTTTATGTGTGCATGCATTTGTGTGTGTGTGCATGCGCATGTGTGTGCACTTGTACAGTACCTGGCCTGCCAGACTCATCCTCTATTTAATTTTATATACAGAACCAATGTCTCCCTTAAGGAAGCATGGGGCTGGCTGGTCAGGCTAGTGCGTGTGTGTGTGTGTGTGTGCATGTGCGTTTGTGTGTGTGTGTGTGTGTGTTTGTGAGAAGACAACAATCACAGCTCTGTGTTGAAAACTCACTTGTGTGTATTTTTGAGACACGACACATCCATGCTGAAACTTCCACTTAATGCGGGTCGTCACCATCTGCCAGACTTGAACTCCAGCCAGCAGATCCAAGCAGGGCTGTTCTGCCACAGTGTGAGCTTCCATTGCTGTCGCAGGGCTGCTATCTATTTAATGAAGAAGAGGGTCAGGTGTTGCTGGGAAGTTGTTTTCCTGTTGCTTAGATGGATCTGACCCGTTCGACCCAGCAGCTGGGAACCAAAAACGAATAGGATGGTTTGGAAGATCACTACAATATTCCCTCCAGTACAGCTGGAAAAGCTGGGAAGCAGCCTGGTCTTAATACCCAGGTTGCTAGGACAACAGTGACGTCAGATGCTGCTAAAGGAGCAGGCTGCTAGAAGAACTGAATGAAGGATGAGAGAACAGTGTGTGTCTTGGAAGTAGAGGATAAGAATAAAGAATAGAATAGCTTTGTGGGAAGTAGAGTTGTTGTTTTCTGCTGCAGCCTTTAATTTGGCCAGCACACCGTTATGGTCATGGGGGTTGGCTCATAATAATCCTTAGAGCAGACATGTCACATGCAGGGAGGAGGAGCTCCGAAGAGAAGAAACTACTCAGGCTTAAGCTGGGCAGTCATCATGGTGTGGCACCTAAAAGTTTTTAGAACCGGTTCTTTCTGCTGCACAAGAATTAGAAGCTTGTGTGTGTGTGTGTGTGTGTGTGTGTGTGTGTGTGTGTGTGTGTGTGTGTGTGTGTGTGTGTGTGTGTGTGTGCCACATATGATCCAGGAACCACCTACCGTAGGGTCAAGCCTACCATGAACTGGAACACCCGTGTCTCTGTCCACAGTGAAGATAGTCTCACATCAGTCTGGACTGCGAGGACCAAGACAAGACAGATTCTGGTTTCAGTAGACACCTTCAAGCTGCACAGAAACTCATAGATGTCCACATGAACCAGACAAATGTCTACTGGAGAAAGGTTTTGTGGTTAGACAAGACAAAGATGGAGCTGGTTGGACACAAGGACAAGAAGTCTGTTTGGTGGGAGACAACGTGCGACTTCTGGACACTGGTCCAGATGTTAGCTCGTTCACTGTACATATGTAAACACCAAAACTGCCAAAAGAAAGAGTTGACTCCCTTCTTACATCAGGAAGAATCAGCTTGTTTCTAGCGTTATCCGTTCTTTCATAATCCGTTGTCGAAGTGTGAGCTGCAGAAGCTTTTCTGGCTTGCGCCTGGCTTTTTTCACAGCAGCGTCCCAAAACAATTTCCTAATTCAGGGATTTTCTGCTTCCTGATCACGTGACGTGTGACACACATGGGTGAAGATCATCTCTAAAGCCACGGTGCAGGGTCTCATTCCCAGGCCCTCCCCATTAAAAAATGCAATTGACGACTTTAGTTGTAAATGGCAGTTAATGAGTTAAGCATTGTGACGGTAGCATCATGCTGTGGTTCTGAAACGATCAGCTAGATGGTTGAAACCTGGACCCAGGCTAAGGTGAAGTGTCCAGAGTCAAAGTCCTAAAGGTTCCAAGATCTGAACGTGACTGAAGATTCTGGGATGTGCTGAAGATCTGAGTCCACGTCAGAAACCTGGATCATTTCAGTAAACTCTACCTGCTCCGGTTTCAGTCTGGAATACTCTAGAGCAGAGGTCACAACCTTTGTGAAGCTGAGAGCTTCTTCATGATTACTGAGCTGCATGGCCGGCTCTTAGGTTGATACACCAGGTTTGATCATGCACACAAACTGACCTTTGACCTAGAGTAAGTTTGAGTTTAAAGAGCAAGTCACCCCCAAATCAATGTATTTTTGGGCTGATAAACTAGATAAATGAGTTTCTAATTGTGCTGTAGACACATGTAGTCAATGATTTGGCGCTTTAGTGCACCTTAGTTAAAAATGAAATATTCTGCCTAAAACTGTCAGTTATCATCAGGTAAAAACTCTGCACTGCATTTGAATTTAAATCTGCCATCGCTATTGGCTAAGAGGTACCCTATGAAATTAGCTGGTACCATATGATGTCACAAAGTCGTTGTGAGCCTGTGTGTGCTTGTGTTTGTTAGCGGCTCCGCCGTCTCGTTCTGCCAGGCAACAGCATTTGTTGCATTTTTCAGACATGAAGTGGGAGTGGAGTAATACTCTGCTTGGGGGTGACTTGCTCTGTAACTAAACGTCATGTTTAATTAACATATTCATAGGGGTTGTATCAGCTAGTCTACTAGTCGACTACACTGCTCTGTAGTGACTTTTTATGCCTTTCATAGACTAGTCGCTGTCATGTGATAATGACCGACGAGATGCAGTCCTCGGAAAAGACAGCAGGTGACGAGCCCCTGCGCGTTGGGAGGCGTCGCTCTGTGCCAGAGCATCGGTACCTGACGCCCGCCATTAAACGGACATTTGACCGAATTGTGACCTTTACCCTCTTGCAATTTAATCTTCCCCTCACCCCATCCTAACCATAACCAGCTTGCGCATGCAAAGCTCTGATCGTTGACGCGCTCCAGACATCTGCGTCCTGAGCACAGCCACAGTAATATCAAATTAGGTGTTGCCACCTCAAAAACAATTTTAACACACGGTCGTTCATGTCGGCTCATTTCCTTTTATGTTTTCTGTCTTTTATTTGTGCCTGATGTGTTTCGCTGCAGTGGAGCGAAGCATATCACCTGTTTTGTCCTCCGGTGACACATATCACCGGTGCGACTGGCGCGCAGCGCGCACTCCGCTGTTTTAGCGGTCGGTAGCTCTTTTAGAACTGCAGTTCAGCGGCATCTCATAAGGTGAATATATATGAAGCCAGGTAGCAGTTTTTCTTTAGAATTGAGAGGAGATGCAGGAAGATAATAAACAGGCAGGACAGAAAAATAGTCAAATAAAAACAAGTTATTTTTTGTACCTGGTGGTTGCAACAAACAGACACCATTGAAGGTAATCAGAAGTGAGGAACAGAAAATGAAATAATTGTTTTAATGTTTAGAGCAGCAGGAACTCTGAGAGGCTGCAGGAGCACCAGTGAGTTTGCGGCCGCTGCGCAGGGGGAGGGGGAGAGGGCTGAAGCAGGGAAACAGTGAAGATGCAAAAACTAGCACTGTTAAAAGAGATGTGTGTTAACTTAGAAAATGTGGGCGCAATTTTAATTGTCAAAAACTCCAGCGAGCCTGCAATGCTCCAACGAAAACTCCCCCCTCAGAAGATATGTGGAATGTGCCGTCGCCATGGTAACTCAACTCTGTCTCCTTTCCCAGCCTGGGTGGGACTGCGGGAAGGCCGCTGAAGCATCCAGGGTCACTGCATCCCTCCAACCCTCAATGCTCCCTCCCCTATCCACATTGAGGTGACGTGCGCTGCTTCATTGTGGCTGCAGGAACTGAAGTGGGGATAGTCCCGACCCACCACCCCACCTAGTGGACACTTATGTTGTGTTGTCTGAAGTCTGTTGCATATCTGTCTGAGGCATTTTTTTTTTGGAGAGCAAAGCTGCCCTCCTGGTGAGAGGGTAACTTTGAAGTGCCTTTTTTCCCCTCCACCTGAACCAATCCTCATGTAAACCCCTCTTATCTCTATTAAGGTTGTGCGACTCAGGGTTGCGAATGACCACAGTCACCAATTCTTGTCATGTGTCTTGCCCATATATGTCTGATCTCTGAATTGTGTGTACTGAAACACTAATTTCCCTCTGGGATTAACAAAGTATCTTTGATTTGATTGATGTTTAGGTGGATGAGGAATCACCCTTTCATCACAATAACTGAGTTCCTCTTTGTTTACTCCTCCAGCTTTTCCGTGAGGTGCGAATAATGAAGGGCCTAAATCACCCTAACATAGGTAAGACTCATCATGTTTTACATCTATGTGTTCTTTAGAGAGGCTGCAGCTGCTGAGTAAGTTACAGTGACATGAACCGACTCTGCCCCCACACATAATCTATTGCTTATATTTATATTTTCACACTGGATTGAAATTTCCTCTTGGTCTACAGTGAAGCTGTTTGAGGTGATTGAGACGGATAAGACCCTTTACCTGGTCATGGAGTATGCCAGTGGAGGTGGGTGCATTATCTGGGATGCAGTGAAAAACTACTTATTTGTTTACTGATATGTGTTTTCACCAGTGATTGGAACATTTAGCTGTTAGTGGAGAAGATGGTGGTTAATTGTTCCAGTAATTCGTTGAAAAGATAGGAATGTGGTGTTTTCACTCCTTCCATCAGTAAAGGGATGGAGTGGGTGGAGCCTAACTATAAAGGCGATTAAGCTCAGCTTCACTCCAGCTAAGCAGCCTCAGCTGTCAATTTTAGCAATTAGCATTTAAACAATGTAGTGTATCTAGTTCAAAGCTGCTTTAGCGAATCTACAGAACAAGCTGTTTTGAACAGAAACCGTCATGGAACATCCACTCCTCCCCCCAGGAATCTTCCTGCCGCAACTGGAGACCCGTCATGCTGGACGAAGAGAGTGTGTTAAACACCAGTCGCTGTTTTCTTGGTCCAAATGTATTTCGTTGCCCGTGACTTCAAACGCTGTTTTTCTTTTTGAGACTCTGGGAGTTTGTCCTAAAGTTGAAGCGGTAGCAGCCGGCTGTTTCTCCTTCTCTGATGTTATTGAGTGAGAACCTCTCACACCAGCGGAGTCCTGTTGCTAAATACGTGAGCGTGTGATGAGTGGAGGACCCAGGGAAGTGTGGCCATTCAGCTAGACCAACACTTGTTTTTGGTTCGTAACGCGTTATTGGCCGAGGTTTTTAGAAAAATTGAAGAGAACCACTTTATTCATCTTTTTATTATAATTTTATATGTTTGTAGCTATACTATGTTAGATTGTTGGCATTAAAACACGTTAAGCTCATTTGTTTTCCAAATTAGATATTGCATCTTTAAGTGGTTGTTTGGTTACAGCTTTCTGAATCAGGTATGAATGATGTCACCTTTAGTGAGGGTGGACTCCGCCCTTATAGCTGTTCTGTAAACTTCCCAGAACACGGAGCCACAACAGAAGCATCCCAGCAGCCCTGCTGCAAGAACTATACTGCTGTTTGAGCTGAGAGTAAATCTGATTTCAGGCGTAATGGAGACACGCTCCATCCATCCACTCTCCTTTCCTGTGCTTGTTCCTGTGATAAACCCCTTTGCTGTGTTCAGAGTCAGGTGGTGTCGTTTACTCACCGTGTCCTTGAAGAATGTCACAGATGCTGTTTTTAACATGGTTTCTACAACGATCGGTGGAAAATACACAATATAGAGTCAGGAAGTTGTTCCCCAGAGGAGCGGTCTAAAACAACTGCACAGAAAAACTTTTAATGTCAGAGGAAGAGAAACTGGTTTATTTACATTATTTACTTCCCGTTTAGAAGCAAGATGTCCAGATGTCAGGAAATAAGACTCCAAATCCTGCTGTCTGCTGCTCCCCTTTCCTATAGCTCACTTCTTCTTCCTAAAACACGAGCACCAGTGCTTTTTTCCCCACAAAAATCGACTCACAAGGCATTCATTTATCCATCAGTGAGCGTTACCCTCTGTTAGCTTGTGGCTAAAGCAGACCAGGTGATGGGGCCCTGCAGCAGCAGGTTTATTTCCTCTCTCTAAAGTTACGGAGCTGTGTTTGAAGAGGAGGATTTGGAGCACCGGTTTCTGAGTCTCAGATGTTTTTGTCATCTTTTGTTGGAGCAAAGCTTCTCTGAAATGTGTCTGAACAGATATGAGAGCTCTTCGATCTCTTCATCAAACCCTTGGCAGGAAAAGACATTGCTCATCATGTTAAACTGTTCCTCTGTGTGGCAACAAGTCCCCATCAGGACAATAACACCGATTTACACTTCATTAAGTATCAATTACAGTAAAATTATGAATAAAGTGAAATCAGCCATGTGTTAGACTTGTGTGATGATGATGATGATGATGATGATGATGATGATGATGTCTTTAACACCTGACTGCTGTGTGACACACAGGGGAAGTGTTTGACTACCTCGTGTCTCATGGGAGAATGAAGGAGGTTGAAGCCAGAGCCAAATTTCGTCAGGTAAATGCTAACCTCCCATTTCCTACTTTGCTTTTCATTCATGGGTCAAAGCTTCTGGTTTGTCTGTCTTTGCTCACAGATCGTCTCTGCTGTCCACTACTGCCACACCAAGAACATAGTCCACCGAGATCTGAAGGTGAGAAAGAAGAACCGAGGTTGTGGGCAGGGCCTTAAAATTCATTCATTCACTCAGTTTCCGTTTCAATCAAGTCAGAATGTGGGACTAATCCTCATCCTCGAGTCTGAATATGGTCCTTGTACATTTGGCTTGGACTGAGGAGTGAAGAAACTGGAGGCACACACACGCACGCATGCACGCACACACACACACACACACACAGTATGAGTCATGTATGGTTTTAGCCAACATGCAACCCCCCCCCCCCCCCCCATCTGTGCTCATCTCTGCTGTGCTTTCTCTGCAACACCCCACCCAGCCGTCCCTGTCTTCTCCAACCCACCTAACTACTGTAACCATCTTCCTTCTAGTACACTTCTCTCTCATCTCTCCTTCATCTCTCCGAATGCCTGACATAGGCGGAGAACCTTCTGCTGGATGCCGACGCTAACATCAAGATAGCTGATTTTGGCTTCAGCAATGAGTTCACTCTGGGAAACAAGCTGGACACGTTCTGTGGCTCGCCGCCCTACGCTGCCCCCGAGCTCTTCCAGGGGAAGAAGTATGATGGGCCCGAGGTGGATGTCTGGAGTCTGGGAGTCATCCTCTACACTCTGGTCAGCGGCTCGCTGCCTTTTGATGGACAGAACCTCAAGGCAAGTTTCCCTATGGTGGTCCCAATTCCACCAGAACCAAAGTGTTCCAACAATCTATCGGTGCTGTAATCTGAGCAGGTAGAACGCTTCTGTGTGATGGAATAGCACTCATAAACCTGTCTTTGCTGCAAGCAGAGGTAGGTGGAGGGTGATCAAGCCGTCTGCATTATGAACTCTGCTGAAGATGAAACAGAATTCTGTTCCCTGTGGTTGAAACCAGTTTGAGTTTGTAGTCTGGAAACTACTGAGCTGAAAGTGTGACCGATCAGCAACAACAGCACACGGCCAGCAAAATAAACGGGCTTAACGTCCCTGTCAGCTGCTGACTGCCTTCTGCCTGGTGGTCGGTGATTATCCTGGTTAGTTCTGGGCTTTTTACCCTGACTTTGCGCTGAATTATCAAGTTTTCAAAAGTCAGCTATGCTAGATTAGATCAGTCCCATTCCATGATTGGCCCATTTGCTTTGAGCCATGTAAGTACTGGAAGGCCAGTGACTTGCTGCTATTGTTTTAACAGTCTACAAATTATTTTAACACAAGGAATTGAGACTTCAACGGGTTTAAACAAAGAAGGGATTCCACGATGTTGCCTGCAGAGGGGGAAACAAGCATCAGAGCCATTAAACAGATATTTATAGTCAAACAAGGTTCCTACAGCAAAAGACAAGACATAAACAAAGATCTATTTCAAAGTTAAATACTTGACTGTTTTCATTTTGTATGCATCAAATGGTCTTCCCACTAAGACGACCATGCCCTGGATGCTGGAGAAACCTTGTTAAATCTATCTCAACTCAGGTGTGTTTTCTGTCAGACGTCCACCACCTGCGTTTAACAACAGAATCTAACGGGTGTGCAGATGTTGCGCTGCGATTCTGTCTCTGCTGTCATGCTTCTGTGTTGTTCATGTGAAATGTCACGTATGTGGTCACCAGGAGCTGAGGGAGCGTGTGCTGAGAGGAAAGTACCGAGTGCCCTTCTACATGTCAACTGACTGTGAGGGAATCCTTCGCCGATTCCTGGTGCTCAATCCAGCCAAGCGCTGCACGCTGGAGGTGAGCAGTCCGCACGCGCCCAGGAGCAGCTGCTGCTTCTGACACTCGCATCACATTTGTCTGATCTTTGTTTCTTCAGCAAGTCATGAAGGACAAATGGATAAACACAGGGTACGAGGGTGACGACCTGAAGCCCCACATAGAGCCTGTGGAGGACTACAGTGATCCGGCTCGCATAGGTGAGTCTGTTCTGTCAGCTCGTCCCTGCAGACCTGATGTATGTTTTTCATCCAGCTATTTCTGACGCGTTGTTTTATTCTATTTTGTGGTCGTGCTTGGCCCAGAGGTGATGGTCGGGATGGGCTTCACCCCCGAGGAAATCAAAGACTCTCTGCTCAATCAGAAATACAACGAGGTCACCGCCACATATTTGCTCCTGGGCCGAAAAGGCGATGTGAGTTCCTTCATTTTGTTTCCTGACTAACCTGCTGAGGTGTCATGGGAAAAAGAAGACGAGGCTCAACTTCCCTATTATTTAAATAAAAACGGACGTATTGATATGCATTTTGAATATAACTAGCCTATTTTACTGTGAGGTTGCAGTTTATTAAATCTTCAGTGACTCTGTTTCTTCCTCTCTAATGTTTTTGCTTTGAAAGAACATTGTATGTAGTCCCCGTTTGATTTGGTGCTTCAAAGATTCTTTTTTTTCACAACTCTGTCACAATTTCTGTCTTGTCATCTTCTTCACCTCCTGCTCCTCCTCCTCTCTGTGGTGTGCATCTTCCTGTGGGACATCACAGGAGAGCAGTGATGCCCGCTCTGCTAGTAGCCTGTCCTTGGCGAGGGTACGACCCAGCCCGATCACTAACGGGACCAACAAACACTCCTCAGCCACTGGCTCCTCCTCCTCCTCCACCTCCTCTTCGCATAGCAAGACCCAGCGCAGTGCCTCCACCTACCACAGGCAGCGACGGCACAGCGACTTCTGTGAGTCTCTTCTCTGCCGTGTCGGTCTGAGCCTTGGCCTGGTGGTCAAACTGTTTAATTCAGCCAGTCAGCTACTGAGAGAGGCAGATTTAACGATAAGGGAGATGACTGGTAGAGTGAGCCTTTTTCAGGAACAGTCTTGTTGTGAGGACCATCCCACTGCATCCACAGAATATTCTTTATATGAGTCTCTTTGTGTCTGTGCTCTGCTGTCCTCCACAACAAAGGTGGGCCTTCCATGCCCGTCATGCACCCCAAGCGGAGCCCGACCAGCACGGGGGACCGGGAGCTGCGGGAATGCCGGATGCCTTCTCGTAAGGCCAGCTGCAGCGTTATGGGGAGCCACAGCCTGCCCCCCTCCAGCCCAATGGTCAGCAGTGCCAATAACCCCAACAAGTCCGAGATCCCAGACCGCCGCAAAGACATGACTGCCACCACGGTCAGTGCCCTAACGCAGCAATCTCAGGACGGGGGCAAGAGCCCAGGCTTCTGGTCCTTGGAGACACGAGTCTGGGCCTTTACAGACTAGACTGTTTCACATAAATAGTAAACAAATGACTCGTTTTAAATGTCAAATGTTAAGAAATTTGGGATGTTACTGTCGGCAATAATATGCAAACAGCTTTAGTGAAGTAGATTCCAAAAGCCTCACTCTCCCAGCCCAGAGCCCTGGTGTCTCTGGAGGTTAGAACTGGCCCAAAACCAATTTCCTGGTCCAGGGGACAGTTTGCACATTTTCCACCAATTTAGTGTCGCCAGTGAGACGCCATCAGTAAGATGGTGGCCTTAGACCTTTTCCTCTGAATCAGCATCTTTGTAATTTCATTAGTGGGGAAAAAGTGCGTCATTAAAGCAGCTGAACTTTCTGCACTTCAGCACCAGCCTTATTCTTTATGTGGGACTCATCCTCAGTAGTCAGATTACAATCAGAATATCAGACTCTGAGTATTAGTACATATTTTTAATAACATGAAGGCAGAGGATTTGTCAAAAACATTGAATTAAGGCTTTCACAATATAATTGTCACGTTTTCTTCTTTTTACTAAACACTAAATATAGAGCCAAGATGTCCGTGAACTTAGAAAGTAGAATGTAATTTCTTTATTCTATAGTTACATTGTGTAAGTAGCACTTTTTATTTTACTGTTGGTAACTTTTTTGTGCACCGGCTGCACTGAAAACGTGAAGAATCTTAAGTGGCTCATCTGTGTGTAGAATAACATCCCTGGGAGCACCATGACACGCCGGAACACCTACGTGTGCACGGACCGCTCGGGCGCTGACAGACACTCACTCCTGCAGAATGGCAAAGAAAACAGGTAAACTTTGTGTCCTTGGATACAAAACCTTCATCTACATGATTTCATGCAGAATCCTGAACCTGACCGAATTACAGCTGAGCTGAATCAGCACTGACATGAAACTGGATTAGAGCCTGAGTCTGGTTTGCATTGAACTGGATTACATGTAACTACTACCTGCTGCCTAAGGTGGAGGGTGGGCAATAATGCCTGACGTGTTTGTGTGTGTGTGTGTGTGTGTGTGTGTGTGTGTGTGTGTGTGTGTTTCTATGATGTAAACAGTTGCTGGTAGGATACAATAGTTTTTTTCTACTAAATGTTGTGTGTGTGTGCCATCGGTGTGTGCGTGTGTGTGTGCGTGTGTGTGTGTGCGTGTGCCAGCTCTGTCTTCTCGATCCCCAGTGAGTCGTGGTGGATGGCTGCTTATACTGAGCCAGGATCCTCCGGAGTTTTCTTCCTGTTAAAAGGGAGTTTTCCTCTCCACTGTCGCTATATGCTTGCTTAGGATGAGGATTGCTGTAAAGTCACTGACACTCGTCAGTGACTCGATGCAATTTGCTGGGTTCCTTATATAGGAAACATTATTTCTGATTGGCTTAATGAACTGACCTGAATTGGAATGTTTATTATGTGAAGTGCCTTGAGACGACTCTTGTTGTGATTTGGCGCTATATAAATAAAATTGAATTGAATTACTTTTGTATATATTTTTTATAGTACCGTATCATTTCAGTATGCTATTGTGTTCCTCCTTCAACAGCTCTCTGGGTCACCGCCTGCCTGCAGCTTCTCCCTCCACGCTCAGCATCTCTGGAGCTGGAGCAGCTTCCTCCTCGTCCTCTTCGGACCGGTGCCGTTTGACCCGAGGGTCCACCATCCGCAGCACCTTCCATGGGGGACAGCTGAGAGACCGTGGTCCTCCCGTCTACTCTGCCCCACCCACATCACCCACCCTGTCCCACCATGAAGCCAGCCCGTTGCCCCATGCTCGCACCAGGGCAACCTCCAACCTCTTCACCAAGCTGACCTCAAAACTCACTCGCAGGTGAACATCAGTCACTTCACTTAGAAGGATTAGGAGCTGCTGCTGATAAAGGCCAAAGATTGGCATTTTCTGAAGTTTTGTTTTTCTTGGTTTAGTGTGGTCAATCAAGATAACTGATACGAAGAATTTCTGTTATCGTAATGAATAAAAAACAAGAATCATTTTTAAAGGATCTTTCAATAGCGTGGGATTTCTCTACTTGTGAAAAGTCCTTTTTCCAGTAGAGCACCTACTACTTTAACTCTTTTCAGAAGGTCGTTTCCTCCCCTTGTTAACACACGCCTGCATGCTCCGGTTAAACCCCATATACAGGTGCTGGCCAGTAAATTAGAATATCATCAAAAGGTTGAAAATATTTCAGTAATTCCATTCAAAACGTGAAACTTGTACATTATATTCATGCAATGCACACAGACCAATGTATTTCCGATGTTTATTACGTTTAATTTTGATATTTATAGGTGACAACCAATGAAAACATCAAATCTGGTATCTCAGAAAATTAGAATATTCTAAAGGCCAATGAAAAAATGTTTGTTTCTCTAATGTTGGCCCACTGAAAAGAATGAACATGAAAAGAATGTGCATGTATAGCACTCAATACTTAGTCGGGGCTCCTTTTGCCTCAATAACTGCAGTAATGCGGCGTGGCATGGACTCGATCAGTCTGTGGCACTGCTCAAGTGTTATGAGAGCCCAGGTTGCTCTGATAGTCGTCTTCAGCTCCTCTGCATTGTTGGGTCTAGCGTACTGCATCCTCCGCTTCACAATACCCCATAGATTTTCTATGGGGTTAAGGTCAGGCGAGTTTGCTGGCCAATCAAGGACAGGGATACCATGGTCCTTGAACCAGGTGCTGGTGGTTTTGGCACTGTGTGCAGGTGCCAAGTCCTGTTGAAAGGTGAAGTCTGCATCCCCATAAAGTTGGTCAGCAGCAGGAAGCATGAAGTGCTCTAAAACTTCCTGGTAGACGGCTGCATTGACCCTGGACCTCAGGAAACAGAGTGGGCCAACACCGGCAGATGACATGGCACCCCACACCATCACTGACGGTGGAAACTTTACACTGGACCTCATGCAACGTGGATTCTGTGCTTCTCCGCTCTTCCTCCAGACTCTGGGTCCTTGATTTCCAAAGGAAATGCAGAACTTGCTTTCATCAGAAAACATAACTTTGGACCACTCAGCATCAGTCCAGTCCTTTTTGTCCTTGGCCCAGGCGAGACGCTTCTTGCGCTGTTTCTTGTTCAAGAGTGGCTTGACACACGGAATGCGACACCTGAATCCCATGTCTTTCATGAGTCTCCTCGTGGTGGTTCTTGAAGCGCCTACTCCAGCTGCAGTCCACTCTTTGTGGATCTCCCCCACATTTTTGAATGGGTTTGTCGTCACAATTCTCTGCAGGGTGCGGTTATCCCTAGAGCTTGTACACTTTTTTCTACCACATTTTTTCCGTCCCTTCACCTGTCTGTTAATGTGCTTGGACACAGAGCTCTGCGAACAGCCAGCTTCTTTAGCAATCACCTTTTGTGTCTTGCCCTCCTTGTGCAAGGTGTCAATGATTGTCTTTTGGACAGCTGTTAAGTCAGAAGTCTTCCCCATGATTGTGGTGCCTTCAAAACAAGACTGAGGGACCTTTTAAAGGCCTTTGCAGGTGTTTTGAGTAAATCAGCTGATTAGAGTGGCAGCAGGTGTCTTCTATATTCAGCCTTTTCAGAATATTCTAATTTTTTGAGATACCAAATTTGGAGTTTTCATTAGTTGTCACTTATGAATATCAAATTTAAATGTAATAAACATCGGAAATACATTGGTCTGTGTGCATTGCATGAATATAATGTACAAGTTTCACATTTTGAATGGAATTACTGAAATATTTTCAACCTTTTGATGATATTCTAATTTACTGGCCAGCACCTGTATTATTATTGTAATGATCATTTAATACATTAGATCAGCAGTAGATCGTTTTCTACTCAGCTTTTCTGCTTTAGTTTAATAAAAGCATTAATGTTTTGTTTCACTTTACATTAACTATAATTATTTTAAAACCTGATAAATACCTAGAACTGACATATGGGTGGTATTTCTTTTCATTTGTGTGCTAATGTTGTCCGTGGTTAAACTTAATCATTTGAATTTGACATAGAAACCTAGTAGTGGTACAGTTTCTGTAATCTAACCTCCAACAACTGCGACGGCGACACAGGAGTTAAGTCCTCGCCCCGTAATCTGAAGGTTGCAGGTTTGAGTCCCCGCTCAGTCTGTCGCTGTCGTTGTGTCCTTGGGCAAGACACTTAACCCACCTTGCCTGCTGGTGGTGGTCGGAGGGTCCAGTGGCGCCAGTGCACGGCAGCCTCGCCTCTGTCAGTGCGCCCCAGGGCAGCTGTGGCTACATCGTAGCTCATCACCACCAGTGTGTGAATGTGTGTGTGAATGGGTGAATGACTGGTTGTGTTGTAAAGCGCCTTGGGGGTTCCAGGACTCTAGAAGGCGCTATATCAAATACAGGCCATTTACCATTTACCATAACAACAAGGAGAACTGCTAGTTATCGCTCCAACCACAGATATCATAGGTTTGGCTGATAAAATGTTTTAACACATTTTCTTAATAGCATGGCCCTGGTAATAGCCGTTTGTAATGAACTAATCAGCTTTTTAACCTTTAACCCACTCAGGCTCAAAATACGTTTTGATGAAAGGAAGAACTACTAAGTCCTTCAGGGGAACTTCTGAGTTAGAAAATGCTCATGAAATACATATGTGGAGTAACCAGGTAGGTAGGTTTTAATGCTGCTAATCTGCAACGCCTGCCTCCAGAGGGTTAAAGACAAAGTTTGCTTTTTCCAACACATCTGCAGTGGTCTCTGCTATAAGTCATTCTCAGCGGAGGAAAAACTCTAGTGTGACTGTTTTAGGAACTAGAAGTGAGCCAGAGCAGATTTGAACTTCAGACAACAGGATTTAGAATCGTATTTCCCGAAATTCAGACATCTAACCTCTGATTGGCTAACAGCAACACAACTCTACCACTCACTCCATTTGCTCTGCAACGTTGATTTTTTGTCTCCACGAATACCACCAGCTTGGAGGAGTTCTGCTGTGTGGTGGAGTTGCTAATGCTAATATTAACTTCTACTAGTCGAGACCTTCTCTGCTGTTTCCTGACCCCTAAACCAACAGCCTTCCCTGTCATGAGTCAAGATGGGTGAGTCCATGAATGTTAAGTGACAGCGTGACAGAGATCTGTCAGGCTTCTCTAATCCCAGAGTTTCACCGTCTGTTTTCTATCAGAAGCTGATGCAGGAGAGCTTTTTTTATTTCTGGTCTGCATGAAAAACTCAGACTAACTGACTTAATTACACAGTTTCTTGGTGAACTTAGTCTTGAACAATCATGTCTTGTACTATGTGGTGCTCCTGGTGGTTTAGATTAGTGTTTTTGGTTGAGACTAAAACACCAAACGTGTTCCAGTAGCAGTAACAGCTTGACCACTGTCTCCGTATGGGTCCGTGTTTATCAGAACATCAGATTCACCCAGGCCCTTTGCCAAGTCCTTGTGTGGCCGTGGATTATCCACCGCTGCCTTCCCTCCGAGTCATCATAATCACACATGTCTAATCCTATCAAACCTCAGCTTTATCCCTGCCAATCAGCTTCCCCGCTGCACTCTTCTTCACCACCTCCTCGCTTGTGAGTCAGATGTATTATCTTCTATGGCCTCCTTTCCCAATCCCCAGCTCTTAACCTCTTTTTTCCATCTTATCTTTTTCTGCTTCCCACTCCCTGTTATGGCATCAGGGTCAACCTAGACCCGTCCAAGCGCCAAGGCTCAAACAAATCAGTCTCGGGTTGTACTCTTCCACAAGGATCAAAAACAGTTAGTAAGTTCCCATGTATCTCTCTTCTCCCTTGTCTGCTTGCTCTGTCATCTGCGCACCTGATCTCACTGGAGTTTGCTCGTCACCGGATGCCCGACTGCCCTCCTGCTTGCATGCATGGCATTTGCATAATCTTTATTCTGTCTAGGTCTCTCACACTTGGTTTCAAGCATGTTTACAGTCGAGGACGACGACTCATCTGAGATTTATGTTACTGTCTTACAGTCAGGGTCCGTGTTGGTGTCTGTGGCAGCTGGTTAGAGTGAGTCTGAAGGAGCTTGTACACCAAAGGCAGCAATGCTGACTCAGCGCTCTGAAACCCATTCATTTGTATTGCATCCTGCATGTTCATGCTACGCTGAGCGAAGCACATTAGCAGCACACTGCAAAGCTTGGCTCTGCTCTAACTCTTGCAGTTTGGTTGAACTTTGACCTCAGTGATGTACAGTTGTGCAGTCAATAGGCACATCAGACTGCTATCCACCAAACTGACTGTAGGTCAGTATGGAGGCAGAGCTCCATCAGCAAACTAAATTCCTCACCGCTGTTGTATCATAGAAACTCATCACACACACACACACACACACACACACACACACACACACACGCACGCACGCACGCACGCACACACACACACTTCTCAGTACTTCCCTTCCAGGTGTGTGCGTGTTCTCTTTTTGACAGTTTCATTGGTCAGCGTGTTGCTCGCTGTGTGGTTCAGAAGCAAACTTGACTCGGATGCTTTTGGTGTGCAAGCTGCCTTGTGCTCCATCATCTTCTCTGTAGTAAATGTTTACAATTGTTCTATGATTTTGTTTTGTGTAATAAAATCAAACGATGACTAAATAGTTGTGAGGATGAAATCTGAGTTAACATCTGCATGCTGAGAGTTACAACATCTCCCTGTAAGATGAGGACACTGTGTGGATCACATCGTTGGCTGTAGCTGAAGCTCATTTGGTTTCACTGCATCATATCAGTTAGTGAATGCCATCACATCGAACAGCTGATGAAAGGATTGTTGTACTCCAGTGGATTTACTCTCTGCTCTATTTTTCCTGTAGGGTCACAAATGAATCTGAGGGAATCAGGAGACTTGCGGTCACAAGGTGAGTTCCTGTTCTGCACCTGCTTTGGGAAACATGCTGTTGCTCAATGTCTGAACATTTTCCTCCCCTAGTTGCCATCTACCTGGGTATCAAAAAGCGTCCGAGCCCCGGGCCATCGGACGTGGCTGGAATCTGAGAGGCGGTGGGCGGCGGGACCCTGCGGAGGTTGTTCTGGCTCTGCGGGAGGCAGCACTCGGATGTGGCTGCCAGGTCCACCATTCTGGCCCCTTTCTGCTCTCTTGCACCCATGGCATGGCAGGGGGCCGTGTGGCTTTTGAGGCCGAGGTGTGCCATCTCTCCACGGGCACCTCCGACACTTCTAACGGGGTGCGCTACACGCGACTCTGGGGGGCACCGCTAGCTTTTCGGGACATTGCCACCCAGATCTCTAAAGACCTTGAACTTTGAGCCAGAGGGTTGTTTGAGTTTGCGTGTGTGTGTGTGTGTGTGTGTGTGTGTGCGTGTGTGTGAGTGAGTGCAGAGAGAATTGAAAAAGAGTGTGTGGGGGGATGGAGACAGGGCAAGGGGCTGGACCCTTTCAACATACAACTACCCCCCGCCTTTCACATACACACACTCACACATTCGACTTGTAAAGACTGAAGCAGCCCCACCCCTACGTCTAACTCAGCCAGCTTGATCTCCGAGCCACAGCAGCCGCTGGATCTGGACCAGAGGGGGTCTAGCTGCCTTTTCTGTTCTAGCCATAACGACTCTTTTCTTTTTGCTCCGATCTTAGCTTTCAGCCACGGTCACCTTCATTCCCTCGTTACTCAGACACCACTGACCACCCTGTATTATAAATCCTCTCTTCAATGCCAGTAACTTTCACCCTTTACTCTTTTTTTCCCCTTATCAACAATGACCTGCTGACCTTTGACCTCTTGGGAACAGTAACATGCACATTCGTGAAGCGAGCAGCTGCATTGCTTTGACTGATGTACACACAGCGGTGATGCATGCACTGGATTAAGGTCAGGGGGAGGTGATGTGTCTGTTAACAGCCAATCAGAGGGCAATGTGGAGAAAAGCTATCCAACCAGTGATACAATCAACCTTCTGTTCTTAATCCAAAGCTAGTTCCATCTCAAACTCACAGCATTTATTTCATTTACCTATGTAACTTATATTTGATGCTTAAAGAACACCGGGATGGTGTGTGGAGGAGTAGGTGGGATTTTTATCCCCACATCATGGGTCTAGACCAGCGGTCTTGAACTAAATTGGTTCAAGGGGCAAGATTTTTTCCAGCAGACACCAAGAGGGCCAGATGCTCTTCTCTTCTAGGGCCCAAAGGGTTGGGGGGCCGGGTGGAAAGGTCTGGTTGGCTGGATGTGGCCCGCAGGCCGCCAGATGAGGTTCACTGCGGTAGACTTTGGTTCCAAAGATGCAACATGGAGATGCCTGTGAACGGGATATCGTAGCTTCAGTTAAACAATAGAATACCGGATCTACTTATCACGGAAATCAGTGGGACGGATACACTTGTCTTTTCTGCACGCCAGACGTTCTTGAACTGCTGTGTCTTTTATACAGTCATTTGGATTGAAATGTAATTCTTAAGGTTTTTTCCTCCATTCGTAGAAAGATGTTCGCTACAACATAATACAGGGTTTTAGGTCTAATCAGAAACTCGACCAGTGATGGCTCCCTGGAAAACCGCTCTGATTTTTCCAGTGAGTTTCACTAAACAAACAGCAGTTATCTAAATTCTGGTGGAGTTTTTCATCTTAAAGCCTTCAGCAACTCAGCTGAAGTCATCAGCCTTATCCCTGGAAGCACCGGTCACCGCTCCTCAAACCAACCACTCCGGTTGTGAGTTTAGTTAAGTGTCAGTGCAATGCAGCTCTTGCATGGATTTGGTCGGGTGCTGTGATCTCACTCATTACCTCCCACCGATGGAAAACACCAAAAACACGGATCAGCCAAGCAGCAAAACCCCCAGAGTCTGCACACACACCTCTCCACGCAGACCCAACACACACTCCCAGACCTGTTCATCCTCGGGGCACAGGTACTAAACTGCTCGGTTGTTCTTGATGACTGCTTGGGTCAGGGGAGTGCTCTGTCTGAAAAGGCATGACGGAGGCAATGTGGACAGTGTTTTCTTCTTCTTTGTCCAGTTGCCTTTAAAACCAACAGCCCTTCATACAGTACATATTTAATGTAAAAACAAAAACAGCTTTCTATACTCCCTCCCAGTTTTTAGTGAATACTGTACTGTGATATTTGCGTAGGCTACAGAAGTCATATTGTTTGGCTGCTGATTTACTGTTAATACTATCTCTCAGTTGTGGCTTTTTTTCATGGTGACCCAAATCAGCCCAGTTCCCGCCCCAGCTCCCCATCATTCCCACCCATCAGGAATTCACCAACAGCTGTTCTTCACCTTCATACACACCAAGAACTTTTTTCTATTGGTCGCCAAGAGCATCTGGCTTTGTTTCCAGAGAGGAACAATGAGCCGTCATTAACTCCTTCATGTTGTTTGGCATCTTCTCCGTCCTGTTTAGTGTGTGCTGTTTCTGGTAGTCTAACAGGGGAGGCTGTTTTTGACCTGCTCTCCTCCTCAGGTTAAGAAGCAGACACCAAAATGGACACCTGGAGTCTGTCCCTGTCCTCTCCCTGGATGTTTTCATTGCGGTGTATGTTAGCATTAGGTAATATAGACCTCAATGCACTTTGCTTTGACTTGAATCAGCTCCTTCCAGTGTACCTGTTCAGGTAATGACCAGAACTAGTCACTGGAGGGCGCCAATGTCTTAAATGTGAAACACTTCAACTTGTGGATATTTGCACAGGTACTTTATTTATTTTTTAGAATATTATAATAAAAAATTGATTTATATCAGTCATTTGATGGCTGTATATAAAATATATGAATATAGTATATATCTTAGAACTCAAGGTTTATTTATAGCTAGAAGAAGGGAAGTAATACTAGATTAAACCAGTTTCTGTCAGTGACATGAGAGAACAAAACCAACCTGCAATCCTGCATGATGACTTCAGGGTATGGGTTTTAGTGGGAATAAAGAAAAATGATGTACGCCAAGCATTGGAGGCTTAATGAAATACAGACACTATCAGTTTGTAGAACTCAATTGTTCTGAAACATTTTTCCTTTCCCTTTCACAAAGACCAACAGAAGGGCTCCAGTGAGGAACGGTGATTTTACTCCACCTTGTTGCTAGATGATAGGAATTGAACTGAACAACCCTGAAAACTACATGACATGTTCCAAAGCCCTGAGTTGAAACCAAGCCATAGAAAAGTTACGCTACCGTCTTCTGATCCCAACCAAGTATCAGGCTAAGTGCTGAGTACTTTAGTGGGTGTTTAGTTTTCTTTCTTTTTTCGTAAAATGGAAGAAAGAGGGTAACCAGAGTCACAAAGCTCATTTATATTATAAGGTGGATGAACGTTGTCTGGAAGTGAAATATACTGTGAATTTTTTTTATAGTGTTTGTTGAACTGAGTGTTGAAGGGACTGCTAAGAGGCTGGTCTGGTATGAGACACAACAGTATTAGGACTCCATGGGGCTCAGTGTTTTAAAAGGCACCGTCATCTCTAAACTGCTACTGGAACAGTTGTGTTATATGCAAAAGAGACAGTTTCACTATGGGTTCATGTTCTCTGTCCTGCTGTTTAATCCTTTTCCTCACAAGCGAACTGTAGACTGAGACTGGGTGGTTTTGGTAAATGTAGAGATCATGGAGCTGAAGTTGAATAAAATTCACAGATGTTGGTATTTCTCCTTCATCCTGGTGTTTTGTTCACATAAAGACAACACACAGTCCGGTGCGGCTATTGTCTCTCACTTTCATTTCTCAAAGAAAAAAAAAGAGACTCCTAAACATTTGTCTTGAGGCACCTTTTAATGCATAGTAAGAACAGGTTCAGTCATGACTTTTTATAATAAAAAGTAGGTGGGCCAGGAGAACCTGGCTGAGTGGAGGCTGATCCCAGGATGTTACCAACCGAACGGAACTGAGAACTGAGCAGAACGAGAAAAAGACAAAGAATGGAGAAAAGAAAAAAGCTGGAAGGAAGAAAGAAGGTTAGCAGAGGTGAGTGTCTCTGTGAGGGGCTGGTCTCTGCATGCCCGTCAGCTGGCCTGATTGCACATGAATGGTCACGAGTAAAACAAAAGATTGCGTCTCTTTACTTCTGTGCAGGGATCATGCTATCAATGGCCTCTCCCTTCTCAAGCTTCTTTTCCATCTCAACCATGAGCTTGACACCATCCACCACCAGCTGGACCTGCTCTACCTCGGAAGAGCCCAGACGGTCAGCGTTGGAGATGTCAAACACACCACCCACTGATGCAGTGTCCACACCACCTAAAGAAGACAATACATGTCAGTAATCCCGCAGACTTGCCACCACACAGCCTTGCTGTCTCTGTGGGGGGTCATGGTTGGCAGGCTGAGCCTTGGCATTATCATCTAAACACCAGTGTCTTTGCATACCTGTGCCACGCTTCTGCAGACGCAGCCTTGTGAGGATCTCCTCAAATTTGGCGTGTGTGCTAAGCTTGGGCAGCTTTACATGGACACCACCACGCAGGCCAGTGCCAAGATTGGAGGGGCAGGTCAGAATGTAGCCGAGATGCTCGTTCCACATGAAGCCATGGTTGTGCTTCTTGAAGATCTCCTCAATCTGAAAGTGATGGGATGTGAACACTGGACTGATCTTAAAGCCGAAGTCACATAATGGCTTTTATAAATATCTTGTCATCATGTACCTTCTGCAGGCCAACGCAGAAGCGCCTGAAGACCTCCCTCATGTTGCCACCCTTCTGCATGGAGATGACACGCAGGTGATCCTCCTCGTTCACCCAGACCAGAAAGGTTTTGTCGTCGTTGTGCCTGAGAGGAGATCAACAGTGTGGTTAAGTGAATGCCTAATACATGTAGAAATGTCCCTGAAGTACAACAGTTATGGATCACACCCACCAGATGCCTCTGCCATCGGGCCAGTCACGAGCCATACCCGCGCAGGTCAGCAGGGGGGAAACAGGCTTGTCAAACAGGAAGTGATCATTGATCAGCTGCTCCTGCTCTGCGTCGGTCATGGACTTGAGGGGATAATACTTTCCTTTGAACTCACCCTCCAGGCTGGTCAGAGCTGCAGGGACAGATTCGTAGCCCAGGGGTGTGTCATCATAGGGGAGAGAACAAACACATGAACTCACAAGGTGAGACTAATGATGGCCTACCTTCAATGGACAGCTTCTCGATGGCTCTGCGCTCGCCACGGCTGTTGTGGGGGGGCAGGGTGTATCCCTTGATGCTGCGACCAGTGCGAACACGGCTGGACAGGACATAGTTGGGGTCCAGGTCATCACCACCCTAATGAAAGATGAAAGATTAGCTCATAAAGATATGTTTAAATGTTCGTTTTTTCTATACGCCACGTGGGGTGTGCAAAACCAGTATGAGAACTTGTGTTTGTGGTCTTTATTTGTTTAATGTCTGGATGACTATGGCCCCGTACTTTCAGGTTCTCAAAGTTGAGGTCAGTCTTGTGCTTGTCAGTGGGCTTGTATCCACCATGACGGTCGGAGATGACGGGGTCAAGCAGATCTTTGAAAACCTCGTAGGACTCCTCGTCACCAGCGACGCAGCCAACAGTCATGATGAAGGGGTGACCTGAGGACCAAGAGAAGGAAGATCTTTCATTAGCTTTGAATTATCACTGGTTTGTCATTTCACTAGTAATCCTGAAACTGGTGTGTCTAATTTTAAATAACGAGTTTGTTAGAAAAACAAATCAAAAACATTTTTGATCAAAGTCACCAAACTTTATTGCGACTGAAATCTACTGAAGTCAATAATAAAAAGATACATTTATTTTGAAAATGTATAAAACCAGAGTAATCTGTTTTTCAGATGAACTCTTCTAGTGTCTCATGGTCTCACCAGGATTGTCGATACCAGTCTGGATGACGTCATCCAGAGTGTAACCGCTGGATGTCTGCTTGTCCCTCAGTTTTCCATACAGCTCCTTGGTCAGGACCTTGGCCATGTGGTTGTTGTGCTTGGACAGGTCTGGGTACTCCTCCTCAACCTTGTAGTTGAGTTTGAAGTTGTTGTGGGTGTTTCCAAAAGGCATGATTGCTTTCTAACACTACAAACAGGGAAGCATTGAAAAAAAATCAAACTTAAAGGAATGAAAGATCTGCCATTAAGTGTCAAAACCTGGCACAATGTCAAGATGATTTGAAAATCTGTGAAAAAAACTAGACTTCATAATTTCAGCATAAATATTTTGCAGGACAGCTGCAGAGTTCAGAGGGTGATGGCTGAGGAATCCAAGAACAAGTGTTGCTCTACAGGCTCAGATGTCCCACTGAAATGTAGCAGAGGAAGGGGAGCCTGCTCCATGTGTATTTTTAGCCCTGGTACATCTGACCATACACCCCTCATGTCCTGGACAAATTCAAACAGCCCCTTGGTATCTTCATAGAGTTACAACCAAAACTCTTTATTTTACATCACCCTATGAATTCCAATGAACAACTCATGTTTTCCACTATTCACCACAATCCAACAAGTTTCTTTGAATTAGCTTCCAGTGTAACTCATTTATCTTTTTTTGGTTTGCATTGATCCAAAAGGTTCGTCTCAGCAGTATGAAAGATAACCAGAGTCATGCACAGAAGGAACATTTAAAAGATCAAATGATGCTCAGTAGTAACCCTTAAATAGCTAAAGCAGGTTGTAAGAAACATGAAGTGTTTCCACCGCCCCCTGAACTGAAGATTTGTATGTCTGGCTATTCCTCTAAATGCATCTACATCTCCTTATCTCCCCTTTCTTTAACACAACAAAACTTTACCTGCACACAAGACAAGAACAGAGGCCTTGGGATCAGATCCTGTTCACCACAGCCAAATTAGGGGTCACCCAGCTCTGAGGATCTCTGCTCCCTGTTTATATACCAGGAAAACAACCAGCCATTGGTTTGGCCATTTTAGTGCCTACCGAGCCCTCATTGGCTGGAGTTTCTGCACAGAGAGTCTGAACGGTTTATGAAAGGGGGCGTCCCTTTCGTTGCATCACTGTTATCCAAGACACCCCCCCCCCCCCCCACCCTACCTGAACCCATAGATACACCCAGTAGGAAGACAAATAGGAGTGGGGTGAGGGTGACAGCTGTCATGGGAGTAAAGTTGTTGTAGTGATGATACATGGTAAAGCAATGAAAGAAGAAATGGGCCTTCACTTTTGCCATACATGCCACGGAGAACACAGATCCTTGTGTTAGGTGTGAACATTCGAAAGAGTTTGTGTTATTTTCATCTCAAACTGGAAGCAATGTAACTAATGGATGCAACTTCTGTGTGTCTCAAAGCCCAATCTGGATGTTAGAAATAATAACAGATGAAATCAGCTGCTGTGTTGAAACGATTAAAACTTTATTGAAAAACTTTTCACTTACTTGAGTCATTTCTGGCTTTTAAATTCTACCTTTGTGTAACATTTTGTAAGTGGTTACTTTTAACAAATAGTCAATAGAATATAAAGGTATTCAATAAAATGTAAAATTCCATAAAAATATGGATTATCAGTATTATTGAGCCTTTAATATTCCATTGATGATGGAACTAGATACTTTGGTTAATCCAGGGAAACCAGACTTAATAATAATTTGACACAGAGACAAAAAATATAGTGTATTAAAATCAATTTATTACTACATTAATGGTGAAAGGCAAATGATTATAAATTGTGATTCAAGGTGATATTAAATGAGACAATGATTGAACTCTGATGAAGCACGATCTGGTATGTTTTACTAAGCGACTCAGAAAGGTGTGATGTTTGGGTTTATAAAATCAATGTAGCTATTTGTTTCATTTAATTTAACAAGTTATCAAATTTAGTGTATTAAAGAAATGTACCAAAGATATTTAAGATTGTAGATGGAGAAATTAGTACATATTAATTATGACCAATAAGATGTGATGATTCCATATAAATATGAAATATCAATCTGATTGATTTTTGAATGTTTTAACAGAATATTCTAGGGTTCTTTGCTTCTTTAGGGACCGTAAACACACTTAGTAATCATTCAGACACAGTCAGTATATAGTTTATAAAATTAATTAAATTATTTTTCCTAAACTAATGATTTATACATGACAATATATGAGTAATGAGATGTGGTGTGGTGGATGTGAGGTGTTGTGATGGAAGCTAGATGTTGTAGCAACCGTTCTTTGTATCTGAGAAATTGTGAAATCTGGGTGTAAAAGAATTTGTTGTTTGATTCTAAACTAGAGAGTCGTCGTCGTCGTCGTCGTCTTCCTCCGCTTATCCGGGTCCGGGTCGCGGGGGCAGCATCCCAACTAGGGAGCTCCAGGCCGTCCTCTCCCCGGCCTTGTCCACCAGCTCCTCCGGCAGGACCCCAAGGCGTTCCCGGACCAGATTGGAGATGTAACCTCTCCAACGTGTCCTGGGTCGACCCGGGGGCCTTCTGCCGGCAGGACATGCCCGAAACACCTCCCCGGGGAGGCGTCCAGGAGGCATCCTGACCAGATGCCCAAACCACCTCAACTGGCTCCTTTCGATCCGGAGGAGCAGCGGTTCTACTCCGAGTCCCTCCCGAATGTCCGAGCTCCTCACCCTATCTCTAAGGCTGAGCCCGGCCACCCTACGGAGGAAACTCATTTCGGCCGCTTGTATCCGCGATCTCGTTCTTTCGGTCATTACCCAAAGCTCATGACCATAGGTGAGGATT